ATGTACTGGTTATGGTTAGGGTTAGAGTTAGGCATGTACTGGTAATGGTTAGGGTTAGAGTTAGGTATGTACTGGTTATGGTTAGGTTTAGAGTTAGGGATGTACTGGTAATGGTTAGGGTTAGAGTTAGGTATGTACTGGTAATGGTTAGGGTTAGAGTTAGGTATGTACTAGTAATGGTTAGGGTTAGAGTTAGGTATGTACTGGTAATGGTTAGGGTTAGAGTAAGGGTTAGGCTATAGAAATTAATGAAAAATGAATGGAAGTCAATGCAAAATCCCCATAAGGATAGAAAGACAAACGTGTGTGTGTCCACAACACAAAGAGCTTATGATGAGTTCACCTGAGTTCTGGTGGCTCAATGAGACTACCTGGATAAATAAAGGCTAAATGAAATATAAAAATAAATAAAGAATGTTTATAAAGGCACATAAGAGATGAGAGTTCTAAACCTCAGCAGAACCCCCTAGTGGACAAATATTTAATCAGACAAATAAAACAACTAATGCAGGAAAGTGTTTCAGATCCATGCACTCGTTCAGAAAAGGTGAAATTTAAACTATCAAGAAATAAAAAACCAGCATGTGACAGATAACGTTAACTGACGTGTGAAGCTTTTGTTACGAAAATAAAATGAAATAATCATCGACATGACTCGGTTTGCTGAATAAAACCTGAAGAAACCAAACAACATACAAAACTGAAGAGTTGCTGACAGGAAACGTTTGGGGAGTGGTGGTGCAGAGGTTAGACAAGATGGGCCTGTGATCAGAAAGTCGCAGGTTCAACTCCCCAGACTGACATCATCCAAATGTCGGTGGAAAAGGTGAATCACCCACACCTGCCTCCACCCTCATTCGCGCCACTCTGGGCCCTTGAGCAAGGCACTTAACCCCCACCATCTCCTAAACAGGTCTCTGTTGAAATGAGTTCTCGTGGCTCGATGAGACTACCTGGATAAATAAAGGTAAAGGAATGAAATTAAAAAAGAGCTGCCTCGTCATTATTATGATGGTTATTATTACTAATATTGATTTTAAGGTCTTTTTATTGTGTTTTACATTTTAACTAATTTTAAACTTGATCTATGCATTTCTTTGTGTATTCATTTTTTTCTATATGTTTTGATATTATTAAATGTAATAATTGTTAAATATATATTTTTGTTATCTGGTGTGTCCTTATTACAAATCCTAATCTTTAAATCCCAATTACAAATTAAAAATAAATTTCATTTAGTCTGAGCGCTGAATGAGTTTGTTGAAATTTACTGAAGAGTTGTAAAAGCTAAAAGAATTAGAACACTAGCTTAAAGACTAAATAAGAAAAATAAGAGCTAGTTAAAACTTTAAAGTAGCTAGAAGCCAAAGTAACAGTAGACTAGTTAAAAGTAGCAAAACTGTAGCTTAAAGCTAAAATTAGCATTACAAGAGAAATATGGAGCCAGTAGCTAAAGAGAATAATGTTTCTAAAGAAATTAAAGAGATCTTTGTGGATTTTTATGGACATAAAGTTATAAATAAAGTTGAACATTTTCAAAAGAATAAAAATAAAACCCACAAAACCTTGAATAAGCTGATCATTTTGATTTATCAATAGCTCAATTCACACAAAGTCTGCAGAAATATTTAGATTGCAACCAACTTCCAAGGTTCAAGGTTCTTTATCGTCATTCTCATCACGTGGTACATGAGGTGGAACGAAACTGTGTACTCAAGTCTCAGTTACATCCAAAAATATCAAAAATATAAAGTGTAAAAAGAGACCGTATCCAAGGATCTTAGATAGATGCTAAACAATACTAATATAAAATAATATGGTATATTAAAGAGCAGCCGGAACATGAGTCTATGGGTATCAGTGCAGCAGCTTAAAGGCAAGAGATCAGCAGCATGGATAATCAGCAGCATGGATAATCAGCAGTACTGTGCTTCCTCCATTCTTTGGTGCCTTGTATGGAGTCTATGAAACTTTCTGTGAGTTAAATTCAGTTTGTATGACAAGTGGTAAACGCAGCACATTAATGAGTTCTTCTTTGTGACAGGAGGGCGGTCAGTGGTCCTCCGACGGCACGGGGACGAGCAGTGGTCTGAACGAGGTGAGCTCTGCTCCAAGTCCAACCGTTTCTTTCTCCGTTCCAGTATAAAGAAAGAAAATCTTTTAAATGTTTGACTCGACAGTAACTAAGTGTTCTCGGTCACGCAGCATCAGGTGTTCAACCCACGTCCTCTGGACCGAGGAGTCTCATCCTACCTGCAGCGCGACCCGCAGCACAGCCAGCCTCCGCTCCAATCTCAGCGCTTCCAGCACACGTACGCCCCGAGCCGGTTCCAGCCGACGTACCCCTACCTGCCCCAGAGCCTCGTCGATCTTCCCCCCACCATCTCGCTTTCAGACGGCGAGGAACCTCCGCCGTACCAGGGGCCCTGCACCCTGCAGCTCAGAGACCCCGAGCAACAGATGGAGCTGAACCGCGAGTCGGTCCGGGCCCCTCCCAACCGTACAGTGTTTGACTCCCACCCCCTGGACCCGTCCAACTCCTGCCTGCAGGCCAGGTAAAACAAGAAAACGCATAGTGGCTTTTTTATTTGAAACCCTGGTGGTCTCAGATGCATGAAAACCTAGATGTCCTCTTACTGACATTCAGCCCACCATGAAACACTGGGGAGTGACTTGGATGGTAATCTGTCCCTTTATCCATGAGTCAAAACTGGTTTTCATTCTTGTTTAGTTCAGCTGTAAGAATCAATAATTGATTGATTGATTATAGCGCTCTAATCGTCTCTGTGGAGCGGGTCGTTCATTTCATCCCACGATGATTCCTGTAGGTCCATTTGTGTCTGCCTCAGTAAATCGTCCATGGATCGTCTGCAGCTGGTCCAAAACCCAGATGCTAAACTTTAAACCAGGTCCTCCAAGCGTTCTCATGTCACACTTCTACTGATCTCTCTGCGCCAACTTCCTGTTGGGTACAGAACTAGTTCAAACTCCTGGTCTGGACTTTAAGGCTCTGCATGAGGAAGCATTTTTATGTTTCTGAACTTGTTTACTGCCATGTGTCACCAACAGGACAGGTGGACAGGTCAGAGGCTATCTGTGCCTGAATCAAGGCTAAATGCTAAAGCAGCCTTTAAGTTTCTTCACTTGGGAACTATTCGTCTTTCCACCTGCATTCTGTGGACTCCATGAGTTTATTTAAGACAAGGCGCATGTTTCTTAACTGGCGTTTTGGCAGCAATCCCTCTGGTTGTTTTGTTGGACTTGGAGGTGGCTTGGACATGTCTAGATGAGGGACAGTGGTTTGGACATGTCCAGAGGAGGGACAGTGGTTTGGA